ATATGCTCTTAAATCATGATAATAAATTCAATATGAAGAAGTAAAATTCCTATGATTGATCAAGATATTTAAAAAGTGTTTATTCCTCCTTCTTAATAATGTGCACTAATGTTAAGGATTTTACTTCATGTCCGTGTGACTTGTGAATGATGAATTGTTTATATTCCTTATCTAAAAGAAATCATTCTTATACTCCCTTGTGCTATTAACATCTCTCTTGAGTATTTTCAATAAGTTTGGAAGGAAAAAGAGTCAACTATAAAGGGAGGACACTCAAATGAAAAAGAAGACATCAAGAGCAACAACACCTACTTGGATATGAGATCTTCAAAACATTCAATGGTGTGGTTGCGCGTGTTGGAGCTCCCATACCCAAACCAAGACCTCTTTTCATCTGCATTGCATGGTCACTGCCCGAGGAACCATTGGAAGGTTCACCTAAAGGGTGTGGGTCTCACCTGGATGGCAGGATGTCGGGTGGGGGAGCTGACCGGCCTCCCTCCAGGGCAGTGCTGCTGTCTGCAAGAGGCAGCTCACTGGCCCTCATTTATAGCTGGCCTGGGAGTCTTGTGAAATCCCCCATTGCACAGGACTGAGAAGTGGCCAATATCACACTTAGGCACTGATAATCTTTGCATATTTTATTTATCATCTTCCTACAACCAGCCACCTCGCTGCTTTGGTTGAAAAGTCCATCAGAGAAGAAACACCTGGATAAAATTTAGAGCTTTCCTCCTTCTCCCATACACAGCCATTTGAGCAGCCACAGGACTGCTTGGTAAAGCAGGGCCAGGAGACTCTGGTAGAGAGGCAGGGGCCATTTTTTTGCTTCTTTTCTTATTGCAGGTTTGTGCCGTAACATATTTTCAGCCAGGTTAATTGGCACACCAGAAACCCTGTAATGCCATTGCTACAGCACCCATGCAAACATACCAGTGTTTGCTTGCCCCCTCCCAACACACCATCTCCTCTCCTTGGACACAGCCATCTTCACCTGGAGGGTGCTCAGTGTTTCCAAGCTATTTTGGCCTAGAGTAGGGAGAATGTTCCATGTTCTTTGAATTGAATTTTGAGGCCCCGAGAAAAGGAGACATTTGATGAAGAAAGCAAGGAAACTTGATATGGGCTGCAAGCAGTAAGAAGTGTCCCAAAACACATGGAGCTGGAGCTGTCACCATTGCATTTGCTGAGCAGAGGAGCACGAGTATCAGCACAGCCTGCAGTGTTGGTTTCAAAAAGTGAAAAAAGCCCAGCAGATGACAGCACAGCCTGTTCTAGGTTTCATTTTTAGCTATAAATACAAGAAAATCATGGGAAACAGGGGCTCAGCCCAGAGCTAGATAAACTTGGTAATGTGGAGCAGTGTGACAGCTGTCATCCTACATGGCTTGGAAAGGACAGCTGTTGTGAGACAGGTGTAGCAGGAGGCTCCAGCTCTCAACATGCCTGCCTCAGTTTCTTTCCATGATTCAACTGCTTCTGCCTCTCAGTTTTGCAGGTCCAGGCCTGCAGTGAAAGGTTCCCATTAGAAGGGAAAAGGCCCAGCAATCTCTGAGCTGGTAACAACCTTGAAAGGTATAAACAGAGGCCAAGTGGATGTGCATAACACCAGCTGCTCACTGGTGTTGAAGAACAGGGAGCCCAGCCCAGCCACAACCAGGCCTGAAACGGAGATAAAGTAAGAACAAACAGATAAATAAAAGAGTCTGCTTGGAGAGAACAAGGCCCTCATGTTTTCTTCTTCTGTTTTGCTTTTATTCTCCAATGAGAGCTCTTGGAGGTGTGGCTAATGGTTAAATGGCAGCAGTCAATCCACTTTCTTCTATAAAAGCCTGGTCCCATCTTTGATCAAGGAGACTTCCCACCCACTTTCCCAGGAGGTTGCTGGACCTTCTGTCCCCCGGCGGGGACGCCCACCAGAGAGACAGATTCTCTGGAATTGCCATCCACGCAGGAACACCCAGCTGTGGTCAGGCAAGGGTGAGACATATTAACTCTTTCACTGTCTTTTTTAGTAAACTTAACGTTAAGTGATCTTCATTATTAAGTTTAAGACTTTAGAATCCTTTAAAGGTGATAATTAACAGTCCCAGTATAGATTTTGACAAGTAAGTTCCCGACAACTTAGTGGTTAACTTTTGTTGTTTGATTTAATTACAAGTAGCAAAATTCACTGCTAATAAACCCTTCACATTCCAACGGCATTTCTGTTTGGATCTCCCAGAAAATCCCTACACTTTTGCTGTACTTGAGCCTCTCATCCATATAGTTAAGACCCCCAACGTTATGTGCAATAAATCTTGATTATGGCATAAACATCTTGTCTGTCACCTTTTCTGGCCAGGATACAATTGGTGTAGTGGCAGGATCCTGTGAAGTCCTGCAGGGTCTGTTGAGGATCTTTCAGACACAAGGAACAAGTAACGAGCTGAACTGGGCTCCTTTCAAGCCACAATCTACAGGCTGAACCTAACGATCCTTGGTCAGAAGCTAATTGGTGTAACTGGGAGAACATTCTAACTAGAATAGTAAGAACAGAGGTTCGTTAAAGGATGCAAAGGGGAAAGGTGTGATATGGAATGTGTTAGGAATCTGCTGAACAGCTGCGTGGCAATGAGAAGAACTTGCTCTCAAAAGAGTGACTAATTTGAAATAGAAATGTTTCAAAATTTGCAATCAAAGTGAGAACTGAGAGACATCAAAGGAAGGTGTATTGGGTGGGAGGAGAATGTGGAATGAATCATGCTGAAAGCCCCTAACACTGAAGGTGTTAGACAGGTCCAAAAACGAGTAACATCACCAGAGGACTGGCGGGATTTGGGAAAGCTGAGACTCAGAGGAGGACGATTTTGAGGAGTATGAATGGTTCTCCTCACCTACTCCACCCTCTCTGCGCACAGCAGGGACATATCCCGCTGCTGCTGCAGCAAGTGTGGGGAGAGGAGGGTTGGCCAGGGCCTCTGTCTCTCTCCCCTTTCCTGCCGCGGGAAGCGCGGCTGCAGCCCCCGCTGCCGACACCCATCCTGCTGCTTCCCCAGGGCTGGTGGACACTACCGCTGACTCTGCCCCGTGCCAACAGCAGGGGTGGACTGACCGGGAGGAATCTGGACTGAAAATCAGACCTGGAGTCGGAACTGAGGTATCAGAGGGGCCACAGAGGGGCCAGAGGAGAACTGCAACTAGGATTTCTCCTTGGGACCCTCTGCAGGCGTCAGCATTGCAGGATAAATACGCGCGGCAACCAGGAGAAGCAGCAGCTCAGCATTCATGGCGGGTGTGCCTCTCGGGGGAGAACCAGTTATTCCAGATAACAACAAGGCCAGTGGGTTTTGGGCTCCTGCAGTCCAGCTCAGTCTTGGCCCTCCTCCTGATAACCGTCCTCATTCTGTTACCATCCGAGCTGCACGTTGGGCTGGTGGAACGGATCCACAGGATAGGGGAGAACCAACTGTTATACCTGCCAATTCACTTGCTGGTCTGGTAGCTGCTGTTCCAAAACCATCATGCTGGCAGAGACACCCCAATCACTGCCAGGGTGAACCATGGTAAAGCCGCTTTTCAGGGGTGCTCCAGCAGACCTAAAAGATTATTCAGGGAGGTGCCAAGATGGCACTGGAGCAGATCAGTTTGACAATCAGGGGATACAAGCCGGTCAGCCGGGACGGCCTATTCCTACATGGGCAGAATTTGTACATGATACGGGGACTCATGCAAGAGATACAGACTGGTCAGATTCTAACGAGCAAGCTAAACCACCAGACAAAGCTCTAAAACATGAAGGGCAAAAATCCTTCGGACACCAGGTGCAAACTTGTACTTGTGCTTGTGCTTGTGCT